AGGAGGCCTTTGAGGGTGGGAATACTGGGTCTGAAAATATAAAAATACATCTTGAGTTAAAGCTGAAGGAAGAACTGAGTCATGGTAGCAAGCCCAACTTTGTTCCTCCCCCCCCCCCCGCTGCTGTGCAGCAGGATTACCTTCTTATCCCAAAGTGCTGGGCTGTGTAAGGGTCAGGAGGTCGACTAGAGTAGCACATCCTATGCTTCACATGCAGCCATGAGTTAAAAAAGATGGGATGCCATGTTCTTAAAATCCAGAACTTAGAATTATGTTGTGTTCAGTCCCTCCATGTTAAAAGTGGGGAGGCTGTGAGTTCTCTTAGGTCATACAAAGAAGTAGAATTGGTCACTGGGCTTATAGCCTGACACTTAACCTTTCAGGAAGCCACCTAGGCCATTTGTTCTCTTGGAGCCTCACTTGAGAGTGGTTAGCCCTCTGCCAGAGGAAGTCTGAGGCAGCAGGTGAACAGGGTTTGCTGCCCGAAAGGAAGCAGCTGTCTCACCCTTATGCAGCCTGGGCTGGACAGGCGCCTCCAACCTCATTCCCTCAGCTCAAGCTCAAAGTGAGACTATGTCATAGCCTTGGGAAATGCTCTTGCCATACCTTGCCACTCAAGTAGAAGGGGCAGAGAGAAAAGGGAGAAGACAAGTTCTCTGAGCTGGAACACAATGCCTTTCTATATTGGTGCCTCTCCCTCTAGGAGAGAGTTGGAGCCACAGAGGAATGGCTTTGCCCAGGAGAAAAGTAGGAGATAATGAGGGGAAATTGGTGAGGGGATGCTTAGGGAATGGTCCCTCCCACTCTCTGCAGTTGTCTCCTCTGCTGTTACAACCTCAAGAATAAGTACTTTAGCTGCAAGGGAATAAGGTCTTTGTGAGTCTGTACTAGGGAAAAGGGCAGCCTGCTTAATGGTCAGACTCAGAGTGACAGTGATTACCTTCCTCCCACAGGCTCAGCTCAGGGCCCAGCCCCATCCAGGCAGTGTCCAGAGACTCATGGAGAGTATGGCTAGTAGCATATATATTGATACTGTCTTCTAATCTCCTGATTGTCTGCAGGCAGAGCTAACTGACCTCTTCCTGCTAGCCCTCACTCCTCCTTGTGTTTCATATCTGTCTAGATGCAGGTAGAAGCCAATGGGAGACTAACCAGTTGCTACTCAGGACTGCCCTATCTGTCAGCCACGAGTGTCCCTGTCTGACCATAAGGATATCAGATAGACCATAAGGAGGTCAGATAGAACTTTGGAAGGTCGAGGCTATTTAATCATTTTTCCTTTTCTCATGTCCAGAATGCCTCCTGACCAGTCAGTCATAGCCTGGCAGGTGAAATGGGCTTCAGGTAATAACCATTTTCTTGGGTGGTGTTGGATTGGGCGTGAGTCCAGAAGTGGGACTGTGGAAGATATAGGAGGCCTTACATTTCTGAGCCATGTGGGAGGTCTAGGTAAGCCTTTCAGAGGTCACTCTGCCTCACTGTCTACAAGCTGGAGAGAACCCCTTTCCTGTGTCCAGCCTGCTTGACTTCCTACTGCAGTTTGTTCTAACACAACAGAGGTTAGACTGAGAAACATTGGTTAGAATGACTTGAATCACATTGGCGTGGGGTTCACTCTCAGCATAGCTGCTCCCAACTTTTCAAAGATGGGAAGTGTTAGGGGCTTTCCAGAGAGCTGGGCTGGATCTCAGACAAATGAGTCCATTGGCATTCTGTACACAGTGGCACGAACACAATAATTGATGAAGCGAGAGACTGGGAGAGTAGGAAGGGTGGATCAATCTGACTCGCTTTGGCACTAACAGGCTGAGCGCCTGGCAGGCAACAGGGGTTGGTGCCTGGTGTGTGCCTGTGCTACTCTGGAGATAGAGATGTTTAGGATCACTGTGCAGGTCTGGTGAGAGGCCCTTCTAAGACAGTATCAGACTGGTTGCAAGCTGCAGGAGTCCATGCTTTAACTGGGTGAAGTGAAAAGCCTTCGATTCATCCTTGTTTAGGCTTCTAGTTTGTGAATCCAGCTTTACCACTGTTCCACCTTCTGCAGAGAAACTGCTACTCTTGTTTGGAGGAGGGTGTTTGTGATAGGTCTCAGGAGGCTTAAACTGGCTTCAAATTGTCTATAAAGTACAGGGTGGCTTTGAACTCCTGATCCTCCTGCCAAGTACTGGAGCCTTTTATTATTATCATCACCATCCATATTATTATTGTTGTTATTGTTTTCAAGTCAGGGTTTCTTTGTGTAGCTCTGGCTGTCCTGGAATTCACTCTGTAGATCAAGCTGTCCTGAAACACAAGAGCGATCCATCTGCCTCTGCCCAAATGCTAGGATTAAAGGCATGCACCACCACAGCCCAGCTAAGATCTGGGATCTTGTGTGTGTACCAAAATGCTTGGCTTAGGACTTGCTTCTTCTGTTCAGAATGGGAGTAAGGGACAGCTCAGACTCATTCAGCTCTGTTCAGAGTACCCTGGGCTGCATTGGAGCCATTCTTCCGACAAGCCAGGCTGGACTGCATTGTCTTTCCTAGTCACCAGAGAAGCCCAACAGGTATTCTGATCTGCTCTGTTTAGCTCTAAGCTTACTGTGTTCTTCAGATGCTCTGGTAGGCCTGCTGCTTCCATCTCATGAGAGGCGGAGGCTTGTGCTCAGGTGGCAGCAGCAGTCCATAGTGCTTTCTTTAAAGAAAAAAAAAAAAAACTTTATGTAACGGATGTCTTTGCGCTCTCTCCCCCCTCCCCCTTCCTTCCTTTTTTTTTTTTTTTTTTTTTTTTTTGTTTTTTGGGTTTGGTTTCTCTGTGTAGCCCTGGTTGTCCTGGAACTCACACTGTAGACCAGGCTGGCCTCAAACTCACAGAGATCCACCTGCCTCTGCCTCCCAATTGCTGGGACTAAAGGTGTGTGCCACAAACGCCCAGAAAGATTTACTTTCTAACAGGCAAGTGAGGACAGTGACAGGAAGAAAACCACCTACCTCTTCCTTAGAAGTCCAGATGCGTCTTCTCTCTGCTTCACTTCTATCTAGAAGTTAGGAAGTTGTCTAGCAAGAGGTCAAGGGAGCCCTGCTAGGTATGTGTCTTTGTTAAATGGCCATGTGGATTCTTGTAAGGTGTGCCTGATTACCCCGGAGAGCATGTTAAGAGGCTCCCCAAGGTGAAGGTACCATGGAGTAGGACAGGCAGCCTTCACCTAGCAATAGAGAAAGCAATGGTGGCACTGGCATCATAGTAGAGCCTGTACTGCAGAACAGGGAATTACCTGGCTGCCTAACCTTTAAGGAGCATCAGAGCCCTTTCTAGAAGTTCTCTCAGGAGATTCAGAGCCCTAGAACCTGCCCTCCAGCGGGTCAGCTTAAGGATCCAGAGCACTTAGCCCCACCAGGCTGAGTCCCATAGCTGCAGCAGTCTTGACAAAGGATATCACTCGACAGCACCTGCTGGTGGTTGCTTGCTACACATGTGCCTACTGAGTACCTCCTGTGTCTACTACACCAAGCACTAGGGCTCAGTACCATCTAAGGGGAGTAAACAGCTTGGAACTCACAGATTGGAATAATTGTAAGCAGTGGGGACTAGGAGAGCATCTAAGGAAATGGTCTTTATCCTAAGAATTTAAGTTCGTCCAGGTAAAGACCCTCCAAGCTAGGGAGGCTGAGATCCAGGGTTTGACAGCTGCTTGGTGAGTGGCTAAGACAACGTAGTCCTGGTTACCTGGAGCAGAACAGGTTATAAGGAGATCTCTGTAGTGATAGAAATGTACTAGAAGGAAGTTGGCACATCATACTTACAGGAATTGTCTTTTTGTTTTGAGATAGGGTCTCACTATGTAGAACACACTGGCTTTAAACTCACAGACATCTGCCAGCTTCTGTCCCATATGCTGAGATTAAAGGTGTGTACCACTACACCTGGCCAATTACAGGAGCTTTTGTGCCTCAAAGAAGTCCTACAAACTGGACAGAGCCTCCTTATCTGTCCCTAGAAGTTCCTACCCTGTTATCAAACCAAGAAATATAGATTCATTAAATGTTTTTTTCTCTTGGTGTCTGGAGGCTGAAGGGGAATTCCTTGGAAGTTAGGAGGTAAGACACTCCCCACCCCCCCACACCCCCCACCCCCACCCCCGGTAAGGATTGTGAAATCCCTTCTATTTGACCTGGCCACACAGATGGTTGTTGGCACTTAGACATGGTGAAAAAAATTGGGTCACTTTCTTCAAAAACTTTAGGAGAACTGGAGAGATGGCTCATCAGGTAAGAACTGTCCTTGCAAAGGACCTAGGTTCAGTTGCCAGGGTTCATAGAGGGCTCACAGCTGTCTGAAACTCCAGATCCATCTGTCCTCCATAGGTACCTGCATGTGTGGTGGATATACATGTAAAATAAATGTTAAAAAAAATTCTCCCAGCTGGGCAGAGGTGGCACACACCTTTAGTCCCAGCACTTGGGAGGCAGAGGCAGGCGGATCTCTGTGAGTTTGACACCAGCCTGGTCTACAAGAGCTAGTTCCAGGACAGCCTCTAAAACCACAGAGAAACCCTGTCTCAAAAAAAAAAAAAAACCACACACACACACAAAATGATAATAATAATAAAAAATCTCCCAGCCAGATGTGGTGGCACATGCCTTTAATCCCAGCACTCAGGAAGAAGAGACAGGTAGATCCCTGTAAGTTCCAGGACAGTCAGGGCCATACAGAGAAATCCTGTTTAAAAAAAAAAAAAAACTCCCTAGGGTAAGTTAGGGGTCTTGGCAGGGTCTACCTGCTTTAGGCTTTGGAGGCAGAGCACTTAAAACTGCTCCCCAGGATAGGTGATAGATTCGTTTCCTCCTCAGACTCATTACCAAGCAGTGCCTGCTCAGTAACCCGAGTCAGCATTGAGCAGAAGAGAAAGGAGTTCTAGTATACTGCATGAGAAGAGGACTGTGCACAAATACTGGGTAGATCCTAGTGTTAAGGCAATGTTGAGTCCTCTCACACAGATGCTTGTCTTTGCCTTCTAGCCATGGCCTAGTGTATCTAATCTGGCCAAGGACTTCATTGACCGCCTGCTGACAGTGGACCCTGGAGCCCGGATGACTGCACTACAGGCCCTGAGACACCCATGGGTAGTAAGCATGGCAGCCTCTTCTTCCATGAAGAATCTACACCGATCCATCTCCCAGAATCTCCTCAAGCGTGCTTCCTCTCGTTGCCAAAGCACCAAATCTTCACAGTCCACACGTTCCAGCCGCTCTACACGCTCCAACAAGTCACGCCGTGTTCGGGAGCGGGAACTGCGGGAGCTCAACCTGCGCTATCAACAGCAGTATAATGGTTGAGCCACCAGCTATGACATGGACACACTATCGTCTCATCCTGGCCACTCTCTGCTTTGTTACCTAGGCCCAATATCTTCTCTGTATTTCGGCATCATGGCCAGAGCATGTCTGGACTCAGCTCTTCCCTGTGCCGTTAGTAGCCCCTACCTCCTATCATGGGCCTGGGCCTGTTATGATGGCATAGTGGCCCAGGACCATTTAAACTGGGAGCCTGTTAGGCAGCTGCTCTGAGCTGGAAGAAAGAGCAGGACCCAGTCCCCACTGATGTCCTTAATGTTTCCCTCTTTCTTGGACCAGAGGGGGTCTGTAGTGTTGAGTAGAAAGGGTCCTATGGCTCAGGACTGTAAATCCATTACTTTTATAGCCTCCTTTTCCTCAACAAAGCATTGGTCTAGCTCCCATATCCTGTATCATGCTGACCCTTAAGATTATGTTCCAGTGGGCAGTCTTGCATTAGATTGCAAGCCCCAGGTGTCTCGTTGGTCCCTTAGGTCCAGTCAGATCCAAGCAACCCCACTATTTTCCCTAGCCAAGAGCAGTCTTTCTTCATGGTGCCACCAGGGACCCCTTCTAGCCCCCAGACTTGCCAGGACCTCTGGTGGTAGAGCTGTAGCAGGATCTTATCCTCAGACCCCCCAGCCTCTCTATGAGAGGGATCCTGCCTATCACCCTCCATGCCTTTGTAGAGCCCAGTATTGCCTCCGTCTCCTACTTGGATGTCCATTTCATTCCCCAGCTGCCTCCTTCCCAACCGTGAGGGATTAAAGGGAGTTCCACTGCTGCTACCTGGGGGAGGGTTATCAGCATTCTATTGTCAACCCTTGTTCTATCCTTTGGTATTGCTCTTTGCTGGTTCCTTTTCTAAAGCTGCCCTTCCCTCTTTATAGCTCCATGATGGCGCCATCTAGTGTCTTGTCTAGGTATAGGTCACCGGGGGAGGGGTGGTGGCTGGTGCACACCCTTGCAAACCCATAGCTCTCCGAAAGGAAGAGGAAAGAAAGGAGTTGCTGAACTGGGGAAGAGTCTTGGGCTGCTCAGCTCCCCTTCTAGTCAGCTTCTTCAAACCTCACTCTGGAACTTAGCCGTACTGTGTTACCTGCCTCTGAACCCCAGGTGCCTTGGGTGCTGACCTTGCTGAAAGAGCTGGCTTTGCCCTATCTGCCCTGTGCCCACTTCTTTTCATAGCATTAACTTTCCAGATTGGCCCCACTGAGTCAGGCTGGAGGGAGCTCTTCTGGGGGGGGGGTTAGGGTGGGGTTGCAGGGGCTGCTTTCCCCAGAGACCTGAGCCACAGCAGTTCCTACCTACCACCACCACTCTAGGCTGGAATCCAAGCTCCCTCCCTCTGTAGCTGCTTTCGGTGGGTAGGAAGGGGCCAGACTGAGCGTAGCTTGGGCCTTTGCTAGACTAAGAGCCTCTGTCAGCAGGAAGAGTCTGATTCCCACTCAGCTCTTCTCAGTAGACAGCTTTGGGCTAGGCCCTCTTTCTACGTATGCCACCTCCATTGGGAAACCAAACCAAAGAGACCACTCTGTGCCAAGTCAGCTGTGCCTTCTGTGCCCTCTCCTTACATCCTCCTGCCCCTGGTTAGGAGGCAGAGGAGGACCCGAGCCTCACAGCTTCAGAACCCCTCCCCCGGCTAGTTTCCTAGGAGTCTGGGGTGTGAACCACTGGGGATTTATTTTCTTTCTTGCCCAAAATATGCCTGGTTGTGAGGATAGGGCAGAGGGAGTTCGTGCCTTGGGCCTTTGATAGGTCTACCGGGCCTTTATGCCATGGACCATGGATGGAGAATGTGCAGTTATTTATTTTGTGTACTCTGTAAATGTATCTTCTGTATCCAATAAACAGGTGCCCTCCCCAGGGAAGGTTGCCATTTTTTTCTGGCTACCCTGACTGTGCCATGGGACTAATGGATTGTTCAAAAAGAGGGGTAGGGGGTCACAGCCTGGGATGACAAAGTTCAGGTCAGGGGTAGAACTCTCAAGAGCTTCTCCTTTCCACTAAGCCAGGATAGAAGACAGAGGTACACAAGAGAACTGAGCTTGGTATCTTTATTGGATGGAGATGGGGAAAGGGTCTGTGGAGAGTTTAGTTGTTGGCCATAACCTGGTTGATCCAGGTGTTGAACTTACTAACCCGAGCATATACGGCTGGGGCTTGCACATTGCAATTATTAGTGCCCCAGGAGACAATACCAGTAAGCACCCAGGTGTTTCCTTTCTGGCAGACAAGAGGTCCTCCTGAATCACCCTGAAAGGGAAGAAAAAAGGGAAAGGTTGGTATGGCAGTTTGGGGAAGTATGCCATACAACACTTCAGAGGACAGGGTGCCTGTGCTTACCTGACAGGAAGAGGCACCTGCACCACCTGCACAGATCATGGAATCCGTGATAGCTGAACCCCAATACTGCCGACACTGATTCACAGTTACCAGGGGTAGAACGGCTTGCTGCAGACGTGCTGGTGTTACATTACCTGTGGGTCAGGAATGGTGGTCAGGCTAGCCCATGATGCTTATTCTGGTCTCCCCTTACTCTCACCCAAGTTCTTACCCACACCACTGATGCGGCCCCAGCCGGTGGTGACACACGTGAGGCCTGCAGGCAGCACCTCATTTGAGGAAGCCAGGCAGACTGGTGAGATCCGTGTTGTGTACCGGGCTGGTGAGGCGAGCTTCAGGAGTGTCACATCATTGTTCAAATTGTTGGGGTTCCAGTTAGGGTATGAGATGGCCTATGGAACCAGGAAAGAGCCATGGAGAGCTGCAGCAGGGGTAGGCACCCGGGGCTGGTGCTGAGGGGTAGGTCAGGGCAAGCCACCTGAAGCCCATTTCTCCTTTCTCCATGTGCAGCCAGGTACTTACCTTCGAGATGGATAGCACTTGTACAGGCTCAGCATTGGAAGATCGGTCATATTCTCCCAAAACAACAAAGTGTCGTCCGGGACTGCAGGGATAATGGGAATGGGGAGCTGCTAGGGGGTCACAGAGAGGGCATTCAAGGGAAGGAAGTGGAAAGAGATGGATTGGGCAGAGCAGGTAAATTATACTCACGTTACTTGGCAGTGGGTAGCGGTGACTACCCAATTTGGGCTGATGAGAGAACCACCGCAGAAGTGGTAGCCGTTGCTTTCCTAGGGTCAAAAGTCAGACAGGTGAATGGGCTTAAGTTACCCACAGGCATAAGGCATGCAGGACCCTGACCCGCCCCTAGAGTACGTACCTGCAGAGACACCTGCCAGGGCCAGGAGCCTGGCACTGCGTTCTCCCCATTGACAATCCTCTGGCTGGAGCTCAGTGCAGGTGTAATGGCAGGAACACCACAGCCTGAACACAGGGCTGGTAAGGGTCCACATCCCAGCCTACCTCTCCCTAAGTTCTTCCTCAAGGTATCCCCAGAGGGATGCAAATCAAGAGGATTACTCACTAGCCCTTCTCATGGGTGCCTTCCAGCCAAACACAGCTATCTTGGTTATCCCACCGGCCAGCCTTCAAAGGCCACAGCATCACACCATCACTCCCATCACACCTACCAACCTAGTCCTAATATTCTTCAGGCCACTGTTCTCCCTGATTTCTGGGGTCGTCTCCTTGGCCCTCTAGTCTTCTAGACCCAAGCAATTAAAGTCTGCTTTGTATAGACTGTACACATCTTTCATGTTTTCCTGAGTCTTCTAAGGTCTGGCTCAAGCTCCTCTCTCTCATTTGTGAGACTGGTCCTTGACTCTCCCCTCATTTTTAAGGCTCTTTCCCCTCCCCCCCCCAGGAACATCAGTTTTCCTTTGCCTGCACTGTCCATTTCCCTTCTAGCCAGGCTGGCTCCTTCTCTGGGCCCCTAAACAGGAGCTGGGAGCTAAGTTGTCCTATGTTGTTCAGTCAGGTTTAGTTCCAGCCCACTTACCCCAGGAGGAGCCAAGGAGGACCAGGCTGAGGGTTAGGCTGAGCAGTAACATTGTAGAAGATAATGAATGAAGTTGAGACTGGCCTGGCTTTATTTATGGATATCCTTGACCTTGGACAGAAGTCTTGGGCTTGAGACAAGGCCAGGTGTATGATCTTAGCACATTCCCACACCTGCCTAGGAGAGATCTTAGGCCAAAGTCCTTGGAATTATCAAGTAGCCAGGTGTGAGGCTCTCACCTTGGGGAGGTGGCTCCCAAGCTTTGGCTTCCTATTGGCTTTCTGAACCACCTCCTATCTCAAATGTTGGTCACTGGGTACCAATGACATATGGCTGAACTAGGTTTAAAGTATCAACCTAGTGGCTGGGACTTAGGAAATTTCCCAGGGCTATCAGGAGTACTGGACTCCCAGAGAAGCCTGCTCAGAATATAGCGGTATGATGATTGGTGGAAAGAATGGTCAAATGTGAAGGCTCTGCTGTGAAGGCCAGGGATGGAGGTTCTGAATCCTAAAAGACATCATTTCTCAGCAGCATGGAACAGGAGTCAGAGGTCTGCCCAGAGATGCTGACTCTCACCAGCATGAGTAAGGACCTAAATCCTCACGTGTCTGGCTCTAAGACCCATATTTCTGCAAGTGTGAGTGAGCTCTCAGTGACTGAGACACTCTGGACTGAACCTGGAAGTACAAAAGTGACAGCCATGAAATCTGTTTCTAGACCTCAGATTGCCATGGAAAAGATTTGTCCACAGTGCATCTGTTATTGAGCTCCAGGCTGAGCTTAGTCAGTGGAGGGAAGATGCTTCTGTGTATAGAGCTGAACAGGTGAGTTGGCTTGAATTTTTCTAGGATATGAAAGGTTTTAACTGCCTCAAGAATACCTCAGTCTAGGGGAGGGACTGGGAGACTGGGAGGAGAGAAGGGAGAGGAAACCGTGATTGGAATGTAAAATATTTTTAATTAAAGAAATATATGTTATATATATGTATGTATATATTTTGTTTGTTTGTTTTGTAAGAGGGTTTCTCTGTGTAACAGTGCTGGCTGTGCTGAAACTCCCTTTATAGACCAGGTTGGCCTTGAACTCACTGAGACCAAATTGCCTTTGTCTCCCAAACACTGGGATTAAAGATGTGTGCCACCACCACTTAGCCAATTTTAAAATATATTAAAAAAATAATGCCTCAGTCTAAAAAGTGAAAGAAGTAAATGGGTGAATAAAGGAATGGATAGACATAAGATCAAATACAACAAAATATGAATTACAAGGTCTGGTGGACATATGGATGTTTAGTGAACAATCCCCTTAACTTTACTATTGTATATAAATTTTTCATAATAAAATACTAGGGAACACAGTCAGGGGCCAAGGATTTCCAGCCTGGAGAACCTCTCTGAAGAATGTGGCTTATCTACTGAAGGACCGGTGGAGCTTGGCTACTTTGACAGCAGGATGTTCTCACCATCACCCCGTGGGCCTGGCACTCAGTAGGTGCTTAGCAAAGGTTTCTTGTTAAACGTGTCATCTTTCGGCCCAGAGAACTTGGAGTCAGTCTCCCTATTCACAGCCCCACATGTGCAGATAAAGTCTGGCTTTTCACCAGCAGCTCACACGAGCCTGGTCATCTGAGGGGTGTCTTAAGTAGAGGTACTGTGGGTGGGTGAGGGGTGCTTGGTGAGAACTTGCCATTAGAGTCAGGAAATAGTTGCTCTATCAGTATTTTAGACCCCTTAGGACTCAGGGTGGATCTGGTGGCAATAGGGGGTCACTGATAAGCCAGGGAAAGGCTATGAATAGGGCTGTCTGTGGGGTAAGCTTCCACCTGGTGGAGTTAGGTTTGGGGATGACAAAATGTAGCTTTCCATCTCAAAGCCTGCTGGCTAGGGCTGGGATCTGAATGGACAGATCCCTGAGGTAATGGTGAAGAGCAGGCCAGGAACCAGGCCTCAGGGTCCTTAGATACCTCAGCCACAAAGCTCCTATGGCTGCTTGTCCCACTCCTCTCATGAATGACACAGTCGGGGGCTAGAGAGATGGCTGCTCTTCCAGAGGTCCTGAATTCAATTCCCAGCACCCACATGGTGGCTCACAGCTGTCTGCAATGAGGTCTGCTGTCCTCTTCTGACCTGCAGGCAAACATGCAGACAGAACACTATACATAAGAAATAAATAAACCTAAAAGAAAAGAAAGAATGACACAGTGCTCGTTCTGTTTAAATGTTTGTATTTCTGAGGTTTATTCCCCCTTATACCAAGCTCTAAGTCTTGGGCCACTTTATTCCACCTCCATGGTCTGCACTGTTTCTTCCAGAAGCTCCAGGTTCAGGGGTCTTACTTCCTGAGTCAGGACAGCTGTGGTTCCAGGAGCAAAGTGGTAGCGGCCAGTTCTAGAAGGGAGGAGGGCCAGCCTTTCAGCATGCAGTCTGTCCTGCTCTGGCAGAGCTCCCATTTCCACCCTTGCTAAGACTCCAGCCCCCTTTAGTCCTACCTCTGCACTGGCTCTGTGGGAGAGCTCAATGTTCTCAGCAGCTTGGTGCCTGTTGCAGTGATCACACATGCATCCACACTGCCCCCAGAGCCCAGGTCACCCAGGATCCCCGCAGTGACCGCTTCCACCAACAGCTCTCGTGCAGCCTCCAGCTGTGGTGGTGTAAATGAGACTAAATGAACCTGGTGCTGCCTCACTCTAACCTGAGGATTTTGTTAATCTTGAAGCCTAGACAACTTGCCATTTGTGCAAGCCCAAGCTCCTCTCTTTCCCTCCATTCCAAATTGCAGTCCCTTAGCTTCTGACTCCCTCTCTCCCAAAACCCTGTGTTCCCTCCACCCACTGTCCTCTGTACAAACTTCTCAGAGTCCCTTACACTTATAAGGCCCCTTCCAGCAGTCTTCCCACCCACCGATCTAGTCCTCTCTCACTGAGTTTCTCTCTGAAGTACATAGCTACTTATTTCTATCCCACTCTCAAGTCCAGACCTGAAACCTCATATAGAACCCCACTGGGCTTTACTTCTCCTTCTCTTAATGATTCTTTGTGGGCTTCAGCTTCTCTTGGTGGTCTAACCTTGATTCCTGATTGGACCTTCAACATTTTCAGTCCCTACTCAGGTGTTACCTTCTTCCCCTACAAAGCTTCCTTATTTCTATATTTGGCCAGGTTTTTGTTTTTGTTTTGGGGCGGTGGGAGGCACTCGCCACCTATGAGCATGAAGTAATGGACAGAAGTCGCTCACCGTCATGTTTGGCTGGAACCTGTCTTCCAGCAGTGCCAAGGCTGCATCCTGTCCAGAGCCTGCAGGTGGAAAGGGACATCTGAAGTCAACCGTAGCTGCATCTGGGAAACAAACCTTGAAGGTAGGATTGCAGGGGAAGGATTCGTGGGGAGAGGATGGAAGCACTCACCCAGGGCCGTAAAGGGCAGACGGCTGTAGGAACCGTGGGGGTGCACGCCATAGAGTTGAGGCCCGGTCAGATCAACCCCGCCCACGATCAGTGACGCTCCCACGTGGCCTTGGTACCTGTGGGCAAGTGAGAGCTGACACTGCCAACTGGAGCCCGGCCCCGCCCCACATGCCGCTTCTCGGCCTGAGTCCCACCCCTTCCTGTGACCTAGCGTACTACAATTGCTTCTTCCGGAACTCAGCTTTGGTTAGACCGGCCGGGCTTCTTCCGGTCTTTCTGCAGGTAGCAACCCGGCCTTGGTCCCCCTCTCCTGTCAACCCCGCCTACCTGCAGATAGCCCCCCTCTAGGGGTCATCTTCATCCCACTTCCTCACCGGAAGAGTGTCTGGCGCAGAATACGGGTGACCGTGGCCACCCGAGGCTCACGGCCGGTGGACAGTGCGTGTAGCTCCATCTTGGAAGCTGCCATCCGCGTGGTCATCTCAGTGTCCGCAGCTACTCCAGCCCCACAGCAGCTGAGGGAAAAGGGATGGTGGGTGTGCACAGGGACGTGCAGAGACAGAAAATAGGGCGAGTGACAGTGCAGCTTTTGTTTGAGTGTGGGGACTGGACTGCGGAATTCTTACTAGATTTTGGGGGCGATGAAGTGGATCTTCTCGCAGCTTTTGTCCACCACGACCGAATCGTTAGTGGCCCGCGTATCGGCCCCCAAGATAACTCCATCCTGCAGAGGAAGAGCCCAGCCTTAATGCCCACCCGATCTTCTCCGCACTGGCGCTATTTTAGCCCTCCAGCCCTATCGCCCTGCTCACTCGGAACACAAGTCCCGCGATGGTAGTCCCAGTCTTGCGTGCATGAGGGACCCGAAGGCCCGAAAGGACATGTTCCAAGGACGCATTCCTGTAAACAACGGGGTGACTCGCATTTCAACTCTGATTCTAGGAAGGATCATTTAACCGGTCCCCCAAACCATCTCTGCTTTCCTCATCTCCTGGGTTAAGCCCCTACTTGGTCTTTGTCACCAAACATAAGGTTCCCCGCTTCCACCAATTAAAAAAAAAAAAAAAAAGGCCCACAGTTGAGAACCAGCAGTTTGAAACTAGAACCCCACTCCCCCTTCACCTCTGGCAGTTCTCGAAAGAGAAGCCTCCTCTGTGTTGTTCCACTGCCTGCTTCAGCATCTCCGGGAGGGCAGGAAAGCCAACTGAGATCGTGGGGTCGATGGGTGGACCAGACTGGAAAGAGTGAAGCCAGGGGAAGGCGTCTGCCTCGGCTTCTGTGGGGTTTTTCTTTCTTTCTTTTCTTTTTTTTTTTTTGTAGACTTCCCACTTTCACTTTCACATCTTGTTTCACTTTCATCTTTGCATCTAGTCCCAGGTAGTTTAAGGAGGGACTTGCTGTATGTACCCCTGGCCAGAATGGTGCACCTCTGTTCCTCCATCCCCATTTCATCTGACTGTTCCCCCCATCCCCCGCCCTGCTCCCCGCCCCCCGCCCCCCCCCCGTGAGCACTGCAAGTACATGCATATATGCAGGCAAAACACATACACATATAGCACGTTAAAAATTAGTATAAATTAAGCTCTTTTAGAAAGGTTAATTATATGTATGAGTGAATGTGTCAACATGCTTGCTAGGTGTCCACCAAGGTCAGAAGAGGGCATCAGATTCCCTGGTACAGGAGCTACAGATGGCTGGGAACCACCCTGAGGGTGCTGGGAACCAAACCCAGATCCTCTGCAAATGCAACAAGTGCTCCTAACTTCTGAGCTATCTCTGAAGCCCCAAACTAAGCCTTCTCTAGATGAATTATCATTCCTTCAGATCCTAAACGTTTTTCTTTTTGATTTTTGAGACAGGGTTTCTCCATGTAGCCCTGACTGTCCTGGAACTCAAACTCACAGAGATCTACCTGCTTCCCAAGTGCTGGGAGGTACCACCATGCCTGGCCCTGTTTTCAACTCTTATATTCAACCAGAATTCACATCTATTTCTAATCATATTTCACTGTGCCCCATTCCCACAGCTGTACCAACATCTGAATATGGGCACAGGCACTGTGAAGGGCAGGCTTTCTGAGCAGCTCTACCAAGGCAATGAGAATCTATACATCATCTCAAAGTGTTCAGCTCAATCTGAGGCCTTAGCAAAGCCCATCTTACCTCATGTTCCCCTGGGTCAGATGATAACACATATCTAAGGATCCTAGTAGTGTCTTCCACTTAACCCAAAACACACAGGACTTGTAACAGCAAAGGTCTTTATTCAGGGGCTGGGGGACTTGGGCTGGCAGCTGGGGCCTCAGGAGTACCATGGCGATAGGCACCTAAGAGAATGGCATTAATATGTTCCAGTGTCTTATTGCTGAAGACCATGTTGAGATGTTCTGTCCCATTCATGGGCAGCAGGTGTACAGGCTGTGATTGGCGGCCTTGCCACAGGCCACAGAGCTCAGTGCTGCGTGTGGCTACAGTGTCATCACCATCTTCATAGAGTGCAGACACTGGGTCTTTATAGGGGAAGCTGTGGTCATAGATATATGTGTGGGGTGTGGGCAGACCCACACCATACAGACAGTATACTTCTACACCAGGTGCTGGGAGGCCTCCCAGCAGGTCCCGTGACTGTAGCCACATGTACCATCCTTCTTCAAAATGAAGATCCTCAAAAAAACGTTTGAAGTCTTGGCCTGTATAGTTGAAGTTTGGTGTGGAAATGAACACATGGTCTTCTGGCCATACATGGCGGGCTGGAAACATCCAGGGGGAGGTCGTGGTTATGCGTTGCTCCTCTCTCAGCTTGATGCTGGACATGATCGGGATGCCCTGATTGTCACCTGTGGATACAGAACTAGGTGGGACAGGGAGCTGGGCCTGGCACACTATTTGCTTCAGTGAATCACTTAAACTTGTCCTGCCCCATCTTGACCTCGATTCCAAGACACAGACCAGAAGAGGCCAGGTGTTCAGATAAGTGCTTAATGTTTATTTAAGAGGCTATGTTGGTATTTCTGTAAGAGAGAGCTCTAGGGCCTCAAACAGTATGTATGGGAAAAGGGACATTTGATCAGCCAGGTGTTGGTAGTGCAGGCCTTTAATTCCAGTACTTGGGAGGCAGAGGCAGGCAGATCTCTGTGAGTTTGAGGCCAGCCTGGTTTATAGATCGAGTTCCAGGACAGCCAGAGCTACACAGAAACCCTGTCTTGAAAAATGAAAGAAGCAAACAAAAAAAAAATGAGATCTGGGAAGTATGTGTGTTGCGCGTTGGTTATTCCTCATGTCCTATGAGGGGCCTACTTTGCACAGTAGTCACAGGATTGTTTTTTTGGAGGATTAGACGGTATCTGTTTTACATTCAGTGATGTAGTCTGGTGAGAATGTCCTCAGTGAAGGATGGACCTTGCTGTGCCCAACAGAAAATGGTGCTCAGTGAGTTGTGGCTGCATTAGTGTTGGGTTTCTAGGAAAGCCACTCCAAAAAAAAAAAAAAAAAAAAAAAAAATAAGGTTTGGCCCTGCTGTGGCAGATATGTCCTCAATAAAACAGATTTCTGGCATGTGGTTCCAGGAAGTAAAAATGAACTAAAAGCCAGAATATACAGGACTTGGGCCTACAAGGAGGAAATCTAGGGCTGACAGACTAGCAGGAATGGCCTCCTCTATCTCCTCCCTTATCATCACTAAAAGACTCTGCAAGAGACATCCTAATGGCTGTCTTCAAGGAGCTATGGACAAAGTATGCCCACAGAAAATTTCCCTGGGGACACTGAGCACAGTTGGAGTGACAGTCAGCTCTGTGATCTGCTTCATCCCTCCCTCACCCCAGATAGGATGACAGTGATCAAGAGGCTCCTCACCTGAGGCCAGGACCAGCATGGGCTTGATAGAGCCACCCCAAGGAGCACCAAGAGAGATAAAACCATCAATGAAGCGGTCCTTCCAGGACTGAGGCTGACGCAGTAAGAAGTAAAGCACATGTAAGCAGCCCAGGCTGTGCCCAATAAGGAAGACAGGCTTCCCATAAGTGGCATACATCTCCTCTACCAGTCCTGCAAGCTTCTGGTAGTATTCATCCTGCTGGCCTGAAGATAGGCAGATAGGTCAGAGCAGTGAGGGTCTGGAACCACCTGGCATGACCCCAGCCCATCACCTGCAAATACTCACTGGGTTCCAGACGCCAGTCATAGGGCGCGGCCCGCACTGTCTCATCCCGCACATACCCGTTGTTAACCAGATTCTGTACCAGTGTGTGCATGTAACCTGTGGGGAGGCAGCAACACAAGGGATTCTGTCCATCACATTTGTAGGCTAGCCTGATGGCCAAGAAGAGCCCCTTCCTTTCCCTGAGTACACGAACCTGCTAGCTTGTTGTCATCTAAGTACTCAACAGCATAGGTCTTGCCAAAGCCAGGGACACGGATCTGTACACCAGGGGCATTGGACACATGCCCAGAGCTGCGGTTGTAGACAACCCTGGGGACAGTGGGACATTTAGCAGCCAGTAACCAAGGGGAAATGTAGAGGATGGGGAGAGCACATGGAACATACCTGGTATTATCAATCCAGCAGTCCACCCCAAGGGGTAGAAACATATTGAGATCCAGCCAGATGGTGAAGAAGTCCTCTGTCTTGCGGTAGCACAACCAGTTCACCACATCTGGTTTATCCAGCTTGGCTTCCAGCTGATTCCCCAGGCAGCCAGGCACTGTGGGCACCCGCTTTTGTTCTGGACTTCTTGGTATCTCTCCAACCCCCCAACCCTACCACCAAAAAAGCCCACCCCTCCATCTCCCACACCCTCAAGGTTTTAATGATATTTATTCTCTCCATCACACTTCTTACTGTCCCACCACACTTCTTACTGTCCCAGGCCCCAGGCTCCCTTTAGGCAGGGAAGGTGCAGGAACCAAGCCTCTGGCCCCTGCCCCCACAAAACAAACATCCAGCTTGGCTTTCCATTATTGCCAAAGTCCAAGGAGAGAACAAATAGGTTTAAGGGAACAGGGGCTGGACCTAGAACAGGAGGCAGGCCTTCATGGACCGCTTCTGTTATCCAGCTCTGGACTGGGGTATCTCGTCCTTGGTACAGTAGAAGCCAAGGAAGTGGTGGGGCTTGACCCAGTATCCAGAGTGTCTGGAGCTGGTGGTAGATTGAGGTGCCCTGGTTAAGGTCTTAGACAAACCGCATCCCATTCACTGACCACCACCCCAACCCCAAGCCCCTGAAGACAACTTGGACACAGAACAGTGTGAAGGGGAAAGGGATGGTCTCTATAGAACAAGCCTTTGGCCCTTCCCCACCCCACAGGTATGAGGACTAATGGTAGAGCAGAAGAACCCTGACAGCATCTGCCACTGTCAGGGGCTAAGACCCAGGCTCCCCAAAGTCTTGCTTGATGCATCAGGGACCTAGTGGGGGCTTACCGAGGATGACAGGCCTTGTGTGGTTACTGAGTTCAGCCTTGGGCGTGGTTTGCGGGGGGAAGAGCACATTGAGGAGCCAGAAGGGGGTGACAGGAGGGAGCAGCAGCCCCAACAGCAGCAGCACCCATTGCCATGGGGAGCCAGGCAGCCCCATTCCAGCCCAGTGCCTACTGCCAGATGAGGCAGTCCTGGGCTGGCCTTATCTAGACTGGGGATGGGAGGGGCCCAGGGTCAGTGGGAGGGACAGAACCACCAATGGGGGTGGCCAGGAAGGGGCATAGCCTTAGGGATCTGGCTCTGGGCTTGGGTTCAGTTCTGTCTTTCTTCCCTTGGCGCCAGGGGAAAAAGAGCTGGGGTAGCAGGAGGCCCAGAAGTACACAATGTTTTATTGAAAAAAGTCAGGCTCAGCTTGGCCAGCTCCATTCCACTTGGCTTGATGAGTCTCTGCCCACAGCAGCCTGAGCCAGGTCTCCCTGCAGGCAGGCCCAGCTCAATTCCCCCTCTCAGTGTCCCTCCCCTCTTCTCTGATGATGGCATCCAAACAATAAATATACAATAAATAGTTCTCCTGGGCCAGATTGGGACTTCAAATCCCTTATCAACCCTTATCAGTCTTCTCTAGTCAGGATAGGCCTACACTGGGGTGTAGGAGAAAGTCCCTATATCCCCTAGGGTCCACAGGCCCTCGGATCCATTTAAATTGCCAAGCCCAAGCTTGGTTTCCCAGGAGACCTAGCAAAGCTGGTCCAAAGCAAGGCTGGGCAAAGCAGAACTGGCAAGTAGGTATAGGGTAGGTAGGGACTGTTGTCCTAGACACCCCAACTCCAGGCCAACAGCCTCCATTGGGCTCAGGAATAGATGGTGATGACTTCAC